TCACCCACTGGTCATTCAGCAGTGTGTTGTTCAGTTTCCATGTGTTAGAGTATTTTCTGTGGTTTCTTCAGAGTTGAGGTCTAGTTTTATTCCATTGTGATCTGATATGATATCGGGGGTTATTTCAGTTTTCTTGAATTTGTTGAGATTTGCTTTATGTCCTAAAATACAATCTGTTTTGGAGAAAGTTCCATGAGCTGCTGAAAAGAATATGTATTACCTGGTTGTTGGGTGAAATACTCTGTAGATATCCATTATGTCGATTTGGCCTAACATATGCAGAAGCTCTGAAGTTTCTTTATTGCTCTTTTTTCTGGATGACCTCTCTATTAGTGACAGTGGGATGTTCAGGTCTCCCACTGTCACTGTTTTAGGGTCTGTCTGTGCTCTAAGGTCCATTAGAGTTGTTGTTTTTTTTTTAATGTAGATGGGTACCCCTGTGTTTGGTGCATCTATGTTAAGAATTGATTTTTCCTCTTGATGAATTGTTCCTTTAATTAATATGAAGTGGTCTTCATTATCTCTAACAGATTTTAGTCAGATTTTTAGTCTTTAGTAGATATCTACTTTGTTAGATAAAAGGATAGGTACTCCTGCTTGTTTATGGAGTCCATCTGCTTGGAAAACCTTTTTCAACCATTTGACTCTAAGCCAGTGTTTATTTTTTTCGGTGACATGAGTCTCTTGTAAGCAACTAATAGTTGGGTCTTCTTTTTTATCCCAGTTTGCTATTCTGTGTCTTTTGATTAGCGCGTTGAGGCCATTTACAGTCAGTGTTAATATCGTTTATTCTTATACTTTACCTCTTCCTTGTTTACTGGTGTGCCTTGTCTAAAGGGTTTATTCTTTCTTGCATCCTCCTGTCTCACTCTAGTTTCTCCTCTGTGTAAGACTCCTTTCAGTATTTTCTGCAGTACTGACATGGTAGTTGTGAATTCCTTTAGTTTTTCTTTGTTGTGAAAGGTTTTCACTTCTCTTTCAATTAGGAAGGATAGTTTTGTGAGAAAGACTTGTTTAGGTTGACAGTTGTTTTCTTTCAGGGCCTGAAATATGTCTTTCCATGACCTTCTTGTGCGTAGAGTTTGTGTTAAGAAATCTGTTATTTTAATGGATTTGCCTTTGTATGTGACTTGTCTTTTCTCTTTTGCAGCTTTCAGTATTCTTTCTTTGTTCTGTATGTTTGAATCTTTTGATTATGATATCCCTGGGGAATATTTCTTTTTTGGTCCTAATAGTTTGTTGTTCTGTAAGCTTCCTGCACCTGGATGACTCTCTCTTTCTGGAGGTTAGGGAAGTTTTCAGCTATTATTGTATTGTATAGGTCATCTGTGCCTTTAGTTTGTATCTCTTCTTCTATACCCATGATTCATAAGTTTGGTCTTTTCATGGTGTCCCAGATGTCTTGCATTTTCTGTTCGTATTTTCTTAGCATTTTTTCATGACCTTTTACTGTTTGATCTAATTCTTTTAGTTTGTCTTCTGTTTCAGATACTCTATTTTCAACTTGCTCCACTCTGTTCACTAAGATTTTGATTGAGATTTTTATTTAGGATATTGAGCTGTTTATTTCAGATTGATCACTTTTCAGGATTTCCATATCTTTATTGATTTCATCTTTCATATCCTGTGTAGTCTTCTTAATTTCATTCATCTGTTTGTGTTCTCTTTGAGCTCATTTAATTGTTTATTCACATCCTTTTCAAGATGAGACACTAGATTTGTGTCTCTTCTTTGAGCTCATTAATGATTCTTACTATTTTTTGGAATTCAATATTTGATATTTCTTCCTCTATGCAGGTGTTTAAATCCTTAGTGGTGGAGTTGGCCTTTGATGGAGAACTGTTGTCTTTCTGTTTCATGTTTCTGTGTTGAGATTTACACATCTGGAGTTGGTTTTGGTTCAGGGTTTCAATCCCTTGTGCCTCTGTGGTTGGGGTTTTGTGCTTTTTCTCCTAGGGTTCTAGCAGGTTTCCTCAGAGAGAGGCATGCTGAAAACCTTACACTGCACCAGGGCAAAGTTCTTGTTGTGGTACAGATTACTGCTCTCCTCCCCTCAGTGGTAGAGCTGAGTTCCGCCTTGTTGGGGGTAGTGGGAGGGAAGCAGGAACTCTCCTGCAGTTGGGTATGGAGGGGAGCCCTGGGCCTCTGTGCACCTTGGTGAAGCAGGCTTCCTGGTGTCACCTGCAGAGTAGCAGGTTACAGCTTTTCTCCCCTCACTGGGGGAGCTGGAATACCTGCTCTTTGATAGGGAAGCAGGGACTCTCCTGCAGGCAGGTGGGTACAGTGGAGAGCACTCAGTCTCTGTGCACCATGGGGAAGCAGGACTCCTGGTGCCCAAAGAGTAGCAGGTTACAGTTTAGTTGAGGAACTGGGGTTCCTACTCTTAAATAGGGGAGTGGGGACTCTTCTGTAGGCAGGCATAGTGGGGAGTGCCGGGCCTCTGAATTACTTGGGGTTTATCTTCTCTTAAAAAAAATTCTAGTTAACTTCATATAACTTGCAATTTTCACTCAATAGTACGCTTGCAATTTATTTATGTTGGCATAATATTTAGTGAATTTTAAGCTTTCTATGGTAAGTAGTAATGAACAAATATTCCAACCAGAGTTCACATGAAATCCCTTGCTCATCTGTCACTTTGTGGCTATTTCATTCATTTTTCTTATGAATTTTTTTCAGTTTCTAAGTTATTTTAATTTAAAAATATTTAAATTTCTTTTCTGCCAGGTATGCTTCCTTTATAGGATCAATTTAGGCATTTGTGTATCCTGTAGCCTTTTCAGAATGTCTCCATGAGAAGATAGACAACTTCCAATAGGCTTTAGATTTTGTTGTTGTTGTTATTGTTAGATTTTTTTTTCCAGTACTGGGGATCATACTCAGAGCCTTATGCATGCTAGGCAAACATCAAAGCACTGAGTTACATCCCCAGCCCTTGTTGGATATTTCTGAAAGGTGTTTATACTTTAAAATATAATTTTAGCTTTAGGATATGGAATGGAAGTTGAAAAATCAAGACTAAGCAATTACTTGATTTTATCACCTTAAGAAGCACATCTATTTTATCTTTCATTTCAGTACATGAATATACAATACTATTCCTTTATTTTGAAAACTTGCTTGTTTAGGTGTCCATTTTAATTGTGAAAATAGATTAACATTTTTTACTAAGACATAGCTAAGAAACTACTCAAACTCATTTATAAATATGTCTTAAGTTTATTTTAAAAATTAATGAATTAGAGGGCTGGGAATGGAGCTTAGTGGTACAGTGCTACTAACAATGCAGGGCCCTGAGTTTCAATCTCTACACTGCAAAACAAACAAACAAAACTAGGAGAATCACAGTGTACAGGTATCAGTATATAGTTAATCTTGTCATATGATATATTAATAAGTGAAGTAATTTGTATCAAATACAATAGGTGGCTCTATGATAAAATTTTCATTCTTGTAAAAGAATTGAATTCAGGAATCATCTATACTCTTTTATTTACATTGTTGCTTTTTAAAAAAATTTAAATAAGGTCTGGTGGAGTGGCTCAAATGGTAGAGCTCCGGTCTAACAAGCACAAGGCCCTGAGCTCAAATCTCAGTACCGCCCCCCCACACCCCAAAAAATCTAAATAAGACAAGTCCAGCAATTTCTCTTAACTTAGTATACATTTGTTTGCAATGTTTATTTTTACTGCGAATAAGTACAGTGATATTAGTGTTCCTTGGACTAAATTCTACCGAAAATAAAGAGTTCACTATAAGTGGATCTAGAGGCACAGATCTTAATTTCTCAAAATTCTTTCAGATATATTTTAATTTCACACAATAGCTAGGAGTTTGTTTTCCTTAAGATTTAAGTTGTTAATATTTTCAGTATTTCAAAACACTCTTAAGCTTTCTTTAACCAGAAATATTAATAGAAAAAGTAATGCAGTATTGCATGAACTGTTTTTTATTCCTTTGAATAGTATTTTGAGAGGAGAGTTTTAGAAAACAAATATTACATATTTAAAACCACAGTGCAAAAAAATGGTTGTAAGAGTAGTGACTTGGGTTATTATTTGACATATCAAAGTGTAATAATGTAAGTACCTAATGCCTTATTCACATCAATTCTAGTTAAATTAGTGGTTCTCAGTAATCTGTGGAACATCTGTAAGAGAGTTACAAGGAGTTTGATCCAGCAGGTGCCATTATAGTGCTGCCCTTGGTAAAATCTTGCCACCATTGACAGATGTGTCACAAAAAGTTATACACTGGCACATATCCAATCTATTGAAGTTGTCTTTGGGCTAATATTCGCTCTTTAGTAGGAATCACATCCTTACTTAAAACTTATTTAGGGGTTGGAGCCTTACCTCAGGTGGAATGCCTGCCTAGCAAGCATGAACCCTGAGTTTAAACCCTAGTACCAACCCCCCAAAAATAAACATAAAAATCTAGCAAGTTTTTGCCAAGTTACATTTTAAAACAGGTAAACATTTAGAAAGCAACCATAACAAAAAATACAACTTGAGAAGCTATTCTAAAGATAGAAATACTAATGCTGTTTAAATTTTTGGAAGCTTGTAGTAATCAAATACAAAAAATAAACACTACTGTGGTATTTAATATTAATCATCAGTTTTCTTTCTTGATATAAAAAATTGACTGGAAGTGAGGCTTAGTGGTAGAGCACTTGCCTAGCATAGGTGAAGCCCGGGGTTTAATTTCCAGTATCACAAAAAAATAAATATTCACTGTAAGAAAGCAATGGGTCTATTTATTATTTTAGTGCTAAAATATGAAAATTCCCTATCATCATGTAATACTTGTTTTCTCCCCTTCCCCATTGCAGTCCTTAACCAATTAGATAGGGGGAAAATAATCTAAATTTAGCCTGTTGATATCGTGTCATTTAATTTTTGTGTCTTTTGGTTTCATTAATGTGTTGCTCACTTTTTATCTAGTTTCTGGTTACCAACTTGACTACTGATCATAGGTGATTTTATGTTGTTTTTCAGCTGATTACCTGGCTCAGGCATTTGATTCTCTTTGTTTGGACTTGAAGACAGATGAAGGAAAATCCTTGTTTTTGAACTATCAAGCTGTTCCAGTAATATTAGGTCATCTGAGAATATCCAGTAAGGGCCTCTTATCCAATGTCATTGATAGTTTGCTTCAGATGACAGTAGAATCTAGTAAGTTTTTTATTTAATTTATATATGTAAAGAAATGAAAGTGGAATGATTTTCCTACCTTCTAGTCTGAATGTGTAACTCCACATAGTAAAACTATAGCATTTTTAAACTTAAATGTTTAAAATATTTAGACAGTTGTATGACTGAGTCATTAGTAACATCACTCTAAATTAAAAATCTAACCCTTTGTCCAGATTTTCAGTAACTTATAACAGTTTCCAGTAGTCATCTGTTATGTGGGCACACTGCAAATGTTACATATTTGAATCTTTTTCTCTGTTCTCCTTTGTTCTATCAGTCCAGCAGATCCAATCATATATTCTGTTTGCTCAGAGGGACTGAGAGTATCACATATATCTGTACCTAAAGAGAGAAGAATAGTGACAGAAGTATTTTCCTATTGTTGCCTCTTTCAATCTTACTGTTTTGTTGGAGGAGTCGGGGATAGGGCAGGACAGAGACAGTTTGTGTATGTGGCTAATCTATTTTTGCTAGTCTTCGTTTTTGATGTTTTGTGGTCTGTAAGATTTCTTTTTTGGTAGTGTTTATTTGTTTTGGGTGGAACTGGGGTTTAAACTTAGAGCTTTGCACTTGCAAGGCAGATGTTCTACTGCTTGAGCCACACCTCTAGTCCATTTTGCTCTGATTATTTTGGAGATAGGGGTCTCTCCAATTATTTGCTTGGGCTTATCTTGAACCATGATCCTCCTAATATTAGCCTCCCAAATACTTAGGATTACAGGTGTGAGCCACTGGCACCTAGCTGGGTTTTGGCTTTTATATTGGTATAACAAGTTCTTTTAGGTTGCTGCCAGTGGTATCTGATTTTACACAGATAACACATAGGGATACTGGCATAAAATATTTTAATTCGCTTCCATTGGCATTGCTCTTTAAACCTCATATAACCTCTTAACTTGTAACAAGTAGCCATTTATTTGTAATCTTCTTCCTTCTATAGTCACTCTTACCTCTACAACACTTCTAAAAATAAAATGTTATGCCTTCTAGGGGTACCAACTCAAAATAGAAAGCCATTGCTTGATATAGTAGTAAGCATCCTATGGATTTGATGCTGCTGTGGCAGCTCCCCAATGATTGGGTGCAAAGTACAGGTATAGTTTGGTGTATTGTTTACATTTTCAATTCACTTCTATATATACTGTTGCTTTTCTTTCATAATTTGTGAAGGAGACCTAATAGGGGAACTGAGGCTTAGCGAAATGAGATAACTTCTCCAGGGATTCCACAACTAGACAGAGGTTCAACTAGTCTCTGGCTTTCACATAAGGCTAATTCTACCATAGCACTATAATCAGGTTTTCCAGATTTGCTTTATCCCCTGCCCTAAAATATCACTTCTGATATCTTTCATCAATATATTTAGTCTTTTATAGCTGTTCAGTATTAGACTTTTAGTTAGGGATTTGGCTACTTGGAAAACTATTCTTAGAGTTTGAATCTCATTTTACTAATGTAATGAGTAGAACAAAAAGTTTTAAAATGACTTGTTTAGGTTACTAGGTTTCCAACTTGTTTCACAGGAATTTTCTATTTTTATGAGAAAAACAAAAATTCTACCAGATATGTGTCTATTTATTAGAAACAAATCTTTCAGAATGTGTGTAACAGAAATTAAGTCTTTCTCCTTGTAGCCAAAGGAAAATTGAAATATAATTTTATGAAATGACTTTGTGGCACCACAACTTCACATTTGGAGAAATTTTATTAGACTAGTCAGGAGGTATTCACAAATCTAACTCTTGTTCAAATTGGTTTTTTTTTTTGGTGGGTTTGAACTCAGGCCTTCGTGCTTACAAAGCAGGCACTCTATTGCTTGAGCCACATCTCCAGCCCCACATTGATTTTTAATACTGGTTACTGTGATTTTAGTGAGCCACTGGCACTTTCAGAAGATCGAAAGTGGTTTTTGGGTTTTTTTTGTTTTCTTTTTTTTGGCTGTACTGCGGTTTGAACCCAGGGCTTCATGCTTGTTAGGTAGGCACTCTGCCCTTAATTTTTTTGAATGGTTGGGGATTGAATTCAGAGCCTTGCACTTTGTATGCTGGCTTTCTTATCTTTCCTAACTAGCATGCACTGCTTATCAGCTGTGAGTGAAGTGCCATGTTTCTTTTTTTTTTTTTTTGGTTTTGAAATTTTATTTTCATTTTATTTATTTATTTTAAGATCCATTCTTTTTTCTTTTTCTTTTTTATTGTTTTATTATTCATATGTGCATACAAGGCTTGGTTCATTTCTCTCCCCTGCCCCCACCCCCTCCCTTACCACCCACTCTGCCCCCCTCCCTCTCTCCCCACCCCTCAATAACCCAGCATAAACTATTTTGCCCTTATCTCTAATTTTGTTGAAGAGAGAGTATAGGCAATAATAGGAAGGAACAAGTGTTCCTGGTTGAGATAAGGATAGCTATACAGGGAGCTGACTCACATTAATTTCCTGTACGTGTGTGTTGCCTTCTAGGTTAATTCTTTTTGATCTAAACTTTTCTCTAGATCCTGGTCCCCTTTTCCTGTTGGCCTCAGTTGCTTTTAAGGTATCTGTTTTAGTTTCTCTGCGTTAAGGGCAACAAATGCTAGCTAATTTTTTAGGTGTCTTACCTTTCCTCACCCCTCCCTTGTGTGCTCTCGCTTTTATCATGTGCTCAAAGTCCAATCCCCTTGTTGTGTTTGTCCTTGATCTAATGTCCGCATATGAGGGAGAACATATGATTTTTGGTCTTTTGGGCCAGGCGAATTCAACAACACATCAAAAAGATTGTTCACCACGACCAAGTAGGCTTCATCCCAGGGATGCAAGGGTAGTTCAACATACAAAAATCAATAAACGTAATAAACCATATTAACAGAAGCAAAGACAAAAACCACTTGATCATCTCAATAGATGCAGAAAAAGCCTTTGATAATATCCAACACCATTTTATGATAAAAGCTCTAAGAAAACTACAAATAGAAGGAAAGTACCTCAACATTATAAAAGCTATATATGACAAACCTACAGCCAGCATTATACTTAACGGAGAAAAACTGAAACCATTCCCTCTAAAATCAGGAACCAGACAAGGATGCCCACTATCTCCACTCCTGTTCAACATAGTACTGGAATTCCTAGTCAGTGCCATATTTCAAAAAGAGTTCTTTGCTGTGCTCTGTAGAACCTGGTCTTCTTCAGGAGCAATTACAACTGGGAGGTGTAAGTGGGCTGCTCCTCACTTACACCTTCCCATTTGTTTTGTTTGTCAAAACAAATTAGAAGTGTTTAGAAACTTGTGAAACATTTGACACTGCTTTTATGTCTATGAAATCTAATAATAATTAAATAATTGGACTTATATTTTTATGCTTTTTAAATTTTCTCATTTTCTAGCTTTTTAAGAGGCATTTTGTAAAAGTGAGATGGATTCTTTGTTGGATTGGAAATTTTAAAGGACTGATTCTTCAGAGGAGTAGTTTGAGAAGCAGTAGGCTTGCTGTATGTTTTGTGTTTGTTACTCTTGTTATCCTTAGTGGTCCTACAGGGCAGTTTTTTTTTTTTTAAATTTCAGATCCATTTGTTCAGATATAAGAAATGTCATCAGCTCCGTAGGTTTTTTTTTTTTTTGAAAGCTGCTGAAATTACCTGTCTTGGAGTGTAAATTAAAATCACCTTGATTTATCTAGTCATATATATTATGAGCATTTTTTTTTAAGATTGGAGACTTCTGATTGTGCCTATTTGAGGTATAGGTATATCATGTAATAACTTGGTGGTGGTGCTTTTAGAAAATTACTTTGTGGCTTCTTTTTCTTTTTCCCTGTCAGTAGTTGAAAGCTATTACTCACTTATCTGGGTTTAGCTGTATAAGAATTTAAGTCTTACTTTGTTACAAAGAATACTTTGCTTTTCTTGTCTGGCTTATTGCAAATAGAGGGATTTAGGTTTGTCTTAGTTTATTCTCTTCTGTGGCCTAGAAACTGCCTCCTTTAGGTAACATGCTGCTGTTTAACAGTAGAATAGCAGCAAAGTGAGTGCATTTTGCAGACTTTTTAAAAAGTCAAGTTTATTTTTACTCTGAAAATAATAGAAACTTAGAGAAAACCTACAAACTGGCAAGAAAAAATAGTTTTGGGATTAGGTAAATGTTTATCTCAAAAGATTAAAAAATTCAGTTAGGAGGAATAAATTTGGGAGATTCACTGTATAACATGGTAATTATAATTAATAACAATGCACTGTATAATTGAAAGTTGCCAAGAGAGTACATTTTTAAATGTTCTCAACACAAAAAATTATAAGTATGTGAAGTGTAATGGATGTGTTCATTAGGTTGATTGAGCCATTCCATAATGTATGCATATACCAAACCATCATGTTGTACACCATAAATGCTACAATTTTTATTTTCCAGTTTTTAAAAACTGTCCCCCAACCCAAAGATATTCACATTTACTTCCCATCTACATTTGCTTCCTGTTGTTTTGCTCTGAATGGTTTTTGTGATGTTGGTTAGAATTTTTTTTTTAAAAACATGTTTGGATTTTAGTTTATATATAGTTTATTTGCTTAAAATATCAACATGCAAGAAAATCTTAGCTATTGCAAGGAAATATACTTGTTCTTTTAAAATTCTGTGAATACGGGTAAGAAAATGCAGTAAAATTAAAGTTAATAAAGAATCATTTGCACTGTGCTCCATGCATCATACTTGTCCTGTGGATCTAGAATTTTCTGAACATATCCGTATTTCTTAGCTGACAGTGATAATATTTTTCATTGACATCCACTTTTCCTTGATTTGGGTGATATCATTTCTTCCCTTCTTGTTGTTTTTAATTTATTCTGTCATCCTAGGTGCTTTTATTATTAAGAAGATTAAAACAAGATTAATTTCAGTGAAATTATAGATGTGAAATTTTCAAAAAAGCACCAACCTACTGCATAGTAGGAGTTTCTATTTATAAATCCTATGCACATATAACCTGTTTTCTCAGTGTAAAGTTATC